ATCAGACATCACCAAGACCACCATCATCAGGTGGTCCAACATCAATGCCATCGCCAACAACGGGTCCTCAAAGATCAACGGTAGGTGCTGGCAGCACAGGAAGACCCTCTGGCACGGTCGCTGTTACGTCATCGGCAACAATACCTCCAAACCCGAGTGGGAGACGTCGCCGTCGTGAATCGTTTCCATAATGATGACACTTATGTTCGCTGAAGTGTGCTCGTTCCATCGAAAATACTGAGTAGTTCTTTTTAGGCGAGATTTCGAAGAGATCGAACTCGTAAAGGATTTTTTGGAATAAACTAGAGTATGATGAAAAGTAATAGCATATATTTTGGGCTCTATTCTTGCTGAGTGAAAAGGTGCTTGAAGAAAGCATTGTTTTACTAGAAAATAGAAGTTGGTTTTGCTCTCCTCAATCGTGAATAGCTATTTCTTTGCATTCATTGATAGAGGAAAATACGCAACAGACAAGACAAGCACTCTCAAAACGACTCCGCGCGTTTGATATAAAGGCGAATAGTATGGACAAATATTGACCTCTATATCTTTCCATTAAATGCGTATTGGAACAATTTTTTTTTACTCAACGGATAGGAGTTTCTTGCCTGTTGAAGACTATATTTGGTTTGATGTTGTTACTACCGTCGTAAAGAAAATGTCATGAGAATAAGCGGAAACATTCGCTGAATGAATCTGCAATTTGTATATTCATTCGTTAAATAAATCATCAAAAACGACAGTTTATTTTTTGAAAAAGCAAGGTATTTGAATAAGAACAATTTATAGGGTATTGAATAAGTATTCGAAACATTGAAAAACGAAATTTTTATCTCTTATCCGTTTCAAAATAGAATGTCCATCGCTGTTTTTTGAATATCTCAAGTCAGGAACAAGCTAGAGACCGGCGATTTGCACCAATCAAAAGAGGAGACTAAGGGACATCTTTCTCTCCGCTAATGCGCAAGAGAAATTCATTTTAAAACTAATTATTCTCGAAAAACATGTAAAAGAAGGGATGAAAATTACCTGTCATCTAGATAAAAGTTTGATTTTGACCTTTGATTTAGATAGAGAGACTTCAGATCCATAGTTCAAGATACAATACAAATGGTTCTCTTGTTGCATTCCAACATTGAGCAAATCGCATCATATATTTATATGCGCAAATAATAGGAATTTTTGCTAATTTTTTACTAAACTTTCTCACTTTTTATCATAATAGCTCGACATTGCGATGGAAATGTGATGAAAAGAAAGGAAGCGTATTATATCTTGACCTATAGATCTGAAGTCCCTCTATCTAAATCAAAGGTCAAAATCAAACTTTTATCTGGATGACAGGTAATTTTCATCCCTTCTTTTACATGTTTTTCGAGAATAATTAGTTTTAAAAGGAATTTCTCTTACACATTATCGGAGAGAAAGATGTCCCTTAGTCTCCTCTTTTGACTGGTGAAAACCGCAAATCTCTAGCTTGTTCCTGACTTGAGATATTCAAAAAACAGCGATGGACATTCTATTTTGAAACGGATAATAGAAATGGTCACTCAGTAAAACTGTCAAATGAAAAATAAAAACAAGTGGCAGAATCTGTTAATAGTATTGTGGTAGCGTTAATCAGTCGGTCATCAGTCCTAATTTACGAAAAACATCATCGGTTATTTACAGGAGACGGTGAAGTGCTTGAAAAGTGGATAGTGAAGCTCCCGAAACAGGACTAGAAAAGTTGTGTAAACTTATACAAAATGATTTCTCCGGGTTCCAATATTATTATAGCTGATGAAAAGTATATTA